ATAATTATTAATAGTAAAGCTATAATAGTTAGAGTATTTTCTATATTAATAATCGGCGATCTTCTTTAGTAGGCTAATAGTATAGACTTTCTTCGCTATAATACTATATATAGCTACCGATTTTATTTTTATTCGAAGAAGTAGTAGAGTAATCTTAAGTTTCTAATATTTAAACGATATCGCTACTATTTTAATACTATTTATAATAGAGAAACGATATTAATACTCTACGATACGGAATAATAACGATTCCTTACTAGTAAAGGGATACGACTTAAGACGCCGCCTATTATAAGACTATATCCGACGCTTAACTTAATTCTTAGCTTAGATATTAACGCGCCGTACTCGGACTAGCGTAATATCGATCGGTATATCTAGACGCTCTTATTCTTATTAATCTTTATTAAGAGAGGTAGATTAGTATATCTTAAGATTTTCTAATCTTTCCGATTTCTATCTAGATAGCTACGTATCTAAAGTCCCCTTCTATATATATAGTCCTAGTTATTATCTAAAGCTAGTAGAGCGTCGATTATTACGCTACTTATTCTCTAATATCGTATATAATAAATATAGTTTAGACTACTATTTCTTCTAGCGATCGATCGAATCGTTAATAGTAATAACGAGTACTCGAATACTATTAAGACTATTATTTCTCTATATCGGTATATTACTAAATTCAATATCGCTATTAGATCGTACTAAGGCTATACGCTAAATATAATTTATTTATACTCTCGGCGTACTAGGCGGCGGCGCTATTTTTAATAGCTTCTATAGTACGTATATAAAAGCTAGACTATCTATACGAATATAGCTTTATCCGACGCCGCTAATATTAAGACTAGTACCGCGGATATTAATAATAATAGTAATAATAGTAATAATAATAACTATAACGATATCTTTCTATAGGTCGAATCTATAATAAATGCTTACTCGAATAGAGATAATAAAGTAAATCTAAGTAATTCGAACTTAAGTTAGGCTAATATAGAAGTATATCTACTAAGGTATATTCTACGGAAAACTAAGTTCTAAAAACTTATAGATCTATCTAATATTTATATCGATCTCTATCTTTATCTCTAGATAGTAGAGTACTATTAGATTTTTAACTATAATATTCTAGCTAGTAAATTAAAGTATAAGCTTTTTAAACGTAATACTAATATCGCCTTATCTTTAAATTTAATAGTATATCTATTCGTAAAAGACGTCGTACGCTAGTTAATCTAACTTAGCCTTACTAGTTACTAGTAGTATACTTATCTAGATCTAGAGAAAGTAATATCGACGATTAAAGCGATATATTTATTACTAGTAAATTTCTTTCTACTATCTATAGAAAGATTACTTTTATTCGCTTATATTAACTATACTAACTCGAAAGGTAATAATTAAGTAGATAACGAGATAGTATCGACTAATAATATAATAGTAACGGAAGATAAAATATACGTCTCTATATTCTTATTATAGCTATATTTTAATAGAAAGATATCTCTTCTAGTAGAAATTACTAAGATAGTAGTACTATCTAGATTATTTATATTATATCTATTCGACTAGTAAATCCGATAGACTCTCGATCGTAATTATCGAGTTTCTAATATAGTAGGTCTTTCTTAGAAGAGACTACGCTAGTATTAACGCCTAGATATTATAGATCCGTTCTCTTAACGTCGGTAGATATTTAGTATTAGTAATAGTATCTCTTTTTATAATAAGAGTTATCGACTAGTCTAATACTTTACTATACTATTTCGAAATCGACTCTATTTCTTTCTATTTCTTATTATAGAACGTACTAGACTCTATTTACGATACGACCGATTAGTTATTCGAGACCCGATTCTTAATTTACTAATACTAAAAGCCGTAAGTAAGTTCCGAGTAATTAGGCTTTCTACTTTAAAGTATAACTTATTATATCTACTTAATATACTATAATATAGCGAGTAGATAAATAATAAAGTAGATAAAGACTCGAAGTTCTTAATATTCTATTAATAGGATATCGACGTAATATAATCGATAGAGATAGTCTATTCTATCTAGTTATAATAGCTAAATAGAACTATATAGTAGCTCTCGAAGATATTAGTATTTAGCTAAAAAAAATCTAGTTAAAAGTACTTAATTTCTACCCGTAAAGTTATAGTAGTATAATAGTTTTAAATATATAAATCTATAGTATTAATATAGTAGTATTATAGTTTAAACTTAATTTTACTACGGCTCTAAATCGTATCTACTACGATTTTACTACGGCTTTAATACGACTCTAATACGATTCTAGTATATTAATACCGTATTAATACCGTATTAATACCGCGTAAATACCGTATTAATACGGTTTTAATATAGTATCCGGTACGGTTTAGAATCGTAATAAAATCGGTTTAGAGCCGTAGTAAAACCGATTCGAAACCGGTTCTAAACGTTAATTTTATTACCGATTTAAGTACGCCGATACGGATCGAAACCGGTTTAGAGTCGTAGTAAAACCGTATCTAATACGGTTCTAATACGGTTTCGCTACGGCTCCACTACGGTTTTAAACTATATTGAATACTATATCAAAACCGTGTTAACACGGTGTTAACACTGTGTTGATCTACTCTACTATGGCCTATATAGTATACTTGGGAATTCTGGACCTATAATTGATACCCTTGTCAATCCTGACAGTACTATAGGATCACTTATAGGCTAAATAACGTATAGTAGATCACGAGAGGATCACGAGAGGATCGCTATAGAGATCGCTATAGAGATCGCTATAGAGATCTTAACTTAATTTAATTTTAAATTTTTTAAGAATATTTATATTACGTAATATTTATAGGTTATAGATTTACAGTATATATCGAAAATACTACTATAAATACGATTCATAGCTTCGTAGTTTAGAGGTTAAGGACGTCACTATCGCTAGAATCGAAGAAAGAAAAATTTTAACGGTGGTCTTAAAATATGTAAAAAAGAGAAAAAGAGTACTCCTAGCGTAATTCGAATACTCTTTTTTTTTACTATATACTAAGTATTATAAGTAGTAGCCTATCTAGATCTAATCTAGATCTAAGAAATCAACAGATCAAACCTCCGATCTAGGATTTTGTAGTACTGAACTAGGTCTGATCCTAGATCGATCCTAGATTGAGCCCCTATAGAAGGCTAGTACTGTACTATAGATTGATATAGAGAAACGTACTATGATTTTATGCCCTAGTACAGTAGGTGTCTTGTACTCTTTATAGGAACTTGTCATAAATCCCCTGCTAATCAGTCTAAATTGTCCAAGTCGCTGCTGCAGCATTCAAGTTCCGTATGTAACCATGCAGGAGCTTTCTTAACTGCACTCCATTGCCACCATGGTGAGCCCTCTGAGGCTTGCCCATGGAGATTGATTCGGAGGTTGACGATGTTGGCACCTGCCGTATGTACGCATGTAGACCTATATATACTATATACAGTACATATATGCCCGCCTAATAAGGATTAATCTAGGATCGATATAGGATTGATCCTAGACTAACCCTACTCCGATCCTGATCCGATCCTACTCGAGAATCACTATAGGATCACTTATACAAGAGGATCCCTATAGAGATCGCTATAGACTAACTAGCGTATCGAGAATTCACTTCTTAACTTAATTAAAAACTTAATTTTTTTTTAATTTTTATATTACGTACTATTTACAGGTTATAGATCATATATCGAAAAAACTATTATAAATAGTATCGTGGTCGAATAGTAACGACGTCGCTATCGCCTAGAATTTAAAAAAGAAAAATTCTAACGGTACATAAGTAGTACTTAGTACTAGTAGTCTTAAACTAAAAAAGAGTGCCCCAAGTGGGATTCGAACTCTTTTTTTTTACTATTATAGTACTTAGTTGATACGTGATCTAGGATCCGATCCGGTTCTGAGCTAGGTCTGCCAGAGCTAGGTCTAATCTAGATCGGATTCTAGATCTAATCCTAGATAGATCTTAGATTGAGCCCTTATAGGAGGCCAGTACTGTATATAGAAGTTAAGTGTAAGACCTTTTCGATTATAGTTCTACTAAGGGCGTGTTCGACAAGCGCAACTTGAAGTGCCAACTAGCATTAAAACGCGGAAAGTCGCGCTTTAGAACCTACGATTTTGGTAGTTTAATTAGTTCTTAGCATATATAAGAAAAGCGTCAACACAGATAGAGCTAGAGTAATTAGCGCGATATATTGAAAATTACACTTACGTGCGCCCTACTAACTTGTAGGTTAAAGTGCCATTATCGGTCCCGACTACCTATTCGATAATACAATTTTACTCGCTTTCGAAAAGACGCTATACTAGTATTTTGGCGGAAATCCAGGTCCCCACTATTCACGTGATAAACGCGTAAAATGCCCTTGAGTTAATGGCACTTCAAGTTGCGCTTGTCGAACACGCCCTAAAGTTATGTAGTACTAGTAGTAAACGTAGAAACCGTATCGAGGCTCTAAGTCGTATTAAGGCTCCAAATCGTATCTAGGCTTAACACCATATTAATACTTAATATCGTATTAAGTCTAGAAATCGGGTTCGAACTGGTTCCAATACGGCTCGAAACATTAATTTTATCACCGATTTAAGCACGCCGACTCGGATCGAAACCAGTTTGGAACCGATTCGGATTCGTGGTAGAGCTTTAGTGGAATTGGTTTTACTACGATTCGAAGCCGTATCGTATACTATATTGAAACTATATTGAAACTATATTAATACGGTGTTAATACTATACTAGCCTTCTATAGAGGCTTAATTTAGGATCGATCTAGGATTAGACCTTATTTAGATCTAGTTTAGACCTAGGATCTAAACTAGGTTCGAACTAGGTTCGAACCAGGTCTGAACCGGATCGGATCGTATTAGCTAGTACTACTATAGTACTAGTAATATTATAGATTTCCGTATATATACCGACATATATATGTTACGCGTACATAATACGTAAGTAGTACTAACGATGCCATCGCCTGAGTCCTACCCTCATCTGCCCTCTCCCGCCTCTATTCGCCCTAAAGTAATACGGCACAAACGTCAACTCGTCGATGAGTTGGACTGTTGAAAAAGCAGCACCATTGGCCTGTGGACCACGGCGCGTGATGGCTTGTCCATCATGGTCTTCACCGTTTCTGCCACCGTCAACACCGTTAACGCCGTCAAGACCCTTATCGCCAATGCCGTACACGATCCTATCCAGCTCTTGTACCGTGACCGTTGGCGAAGTCTTGACGGCAGCTGGATCAAAGACGGCCGCCGCACCATTCTTGACAACCAAAGCGACATAGTCGTCGTTCGTGTCGGGATCCGAGATGGCACGTTCCTCCATAGTGCTGCAGCAGCTGGCGTCGAGAATTACTGACTTGAAGTGGTCCCGCACCCATGGGTTGTCGATATCTTCGACACAGTACACAATCGGACCGCGGGCCACGGTCAGGGTGTCCTGGTTGGTGTAGGGATGTGGCGAGATGAGCCGCGGGATGATTGGGATGTGCAGTGAGAAAGCTGTGTGAGATGAAACCCATGAGGATGGGAGGACGAGATACCCTTTCTCCAGGGTAGCGGTGGGCGGAGGAGGAGGATCCAACTGTTTTGGTTTATAAGCATGAGGCCTAGCTTGCCAGATATATAGAATCAAATGAAGAGTGAGAGCAACAGAAAACAAGAAACCGAACGAGGTCTGACTTACTTTCCAAGAATCCCCCGCCCACGCAGGTATTCGCAATGCAAGGCTGATCTGAGCATTGTCTGGCTGTCGTAACTCAAAGTCCACCTGCCCGCCCCAAGGCCAATTGGTCTTCTGAGATAGTAGAGCACGCTGATCATCCAGAATTTCAATCTCATGAGTGCTTGAGACGTAAAGGTGCACGGAGACTTGGGTTGTTCTTGTTGTCGTGATTGTCGTGTTCTGGGAGTAAATGTAGCCGCCAATCTGGCCAAGGAGCCTCAGCACATTGGGAGGACAGCACGAGCAGGTGAACCATTCTTCGCGTTTTGACAAATCTTGATCACTGGAGGCCAATTGGTTGACGTAGGTGAACTTGGTGCCGTCATGGGACATCGACGTCAAGACGGCATTATAGAGACACAGTTCCATGACATCGCTGAAGCGGCGGTCCAAGTCGTACTGCAATTCAAGGTCAGCAAAGTCATCCACCACTTAAACAACCGCCATTTAATCAATACAAAAGGAAGTGCTTTGAATCACTTACCTGCAATATCCTCTCCGCGAGCATCATCACACCAATGGCTGCGCAAGTTTCTGCGTAACAGCCACCTTCGTCTGTGCCTTGAGGAAGGAAGTAATCCAACCCAAACCCTTCCCACTGTTTGATTGCGCCAATGCCTCCCGTGGCGTACATCTTCCGATCGACCATGTTATCCCAGAGCCGGTAGACAGCGTCCTTCAGTTGTGCGTTGGGGACGCTCGAACTTCCAGATCTGACCAGGTCGGCGGCCGCTGTGAGAAGATACACCGCACGCACAGAATGGCCCTTGATAGTTTGTTGTTCAACGAGGGGTTTGTGGGCCTGGTAGTACCAAAGACAGTCCATTTCTGGCCAGTATTTTGGCCTGGCATGGGGGTCATCACCTCGTCGCTCCGCCTCGACAACGTAGTAGTGCCTGCCATTGACACCAGTTGGATTTCCCCTTTCTGTGATGAAATACTGTGCCAGCTCCAAGTGCTTGCGATTCTGGGTCCGGTTGTAGAGACGTAGCAGAGCCAGTTCGATCTCCGGGTGACCGGGGTACCCATGTATCTGGTCTTCGCCTGGTCCAAACGTTCGGCACAAAAGATCGACATATTTCAGTATCGGCTCAAGCAGGTCATTGTTTCCATACAGGTGATGGTGCGCAAGAGCTGCTTCAATCAGGTGACCAGCATTGTACAACTCATGGAAATCTTGAAGGTTGGTAAACCGCTTCCCGGGCTCAACCACTGTATAGTGGATGTTAAGGTAGCCGTCCGGATGCTGTGCCGATCGGATCATCTCTACCAGTTCCTGAATGGCCCCATGGATGTGACAGTTGTGTTTTTCGCGCAAGAAATAGCATGCCCCTTCGATCCATTTTGCAACATCTGAGTCCCTGGTCGAGCAAGTTAGTCTCTTGCACACGAAACACAACCGTCCACTTTGACAAGTAAACCTACCAGAACAGATGATTCGGAACAGGCCAGACGTCCGGGGTGTCTGAGTATGACGGATGCCACTTCAGCTTAAAGGCATCATATCTGCCTGTTTTCTTCAACACATCCAGCTGATACAGCAGCGTGTTTGACGATACAACTTCACGTCTTCGAGCGATCAATGAGCCCGGCGCCAGCGAGGTGCGAAGGAATGTTTCTTGCGGATACGACATGGTGTTTTGGAAGGCCACCGGCAACTGAAGATTCCCAAGGTCTAGACGGATACTACGGTCGTCTGATCTCGATCTATCACGTTTTTTGTATCATTTCCCTTTGTATCGGGAGGCGAGAATCCCCAGCAGCCATCAATCATCCCCCGCAGGAATGATACGCGGGTCACCTCCCCGGAACTGATGAGAGCATGGTGACTAGGGCAAGCAGTGGCAAAATGATGGTGATTCCCGGGTGCTTCCTCTTTGGGGTGAAGCACCGGTGGTCCACGAAGACTTGATTGGCTGGTGTCCACCGGAGCATCAACAGCTCTCCCCACCCCCTCCGGAAGGCTCGTGTACTGCTCCGACGGGGGCTTCGCTTCCACCAGTGTCTGCTTTTCTTTCATCTCCCGGGACCGGAGGTGCACTGCAGAAGGAAGCTATTTCTCCAGACTCGCGTGCGATCGGGCAGTATCAGAGCGGAGTGTGGGGTGACAGCCATGAGCTCCTGGATAGTATATAGTCGTCCAGATGCCTCGTCTGCGCCGACCATCTAGGGACAACAGTATCCTGTACACCAGCATAATCAGCAATCATGGGTCTCATAGACAAATTTCTTCCCAAGGAGGACCGCTTTGCGGCACTCATGCTCTATGGCATGGTGTTCTGCACAATGTTCAACGGTAAGCATGGGAAAGCAATCAATCACAAATGTTGGAAGGACAGTTCGCTGATACTGCTGCCTTGTGCCAGGCTATGATGCTGGAATCATGACCGTCATTCTCGCGGACAAGCAGTTCATTGATTACTACAATATCACATCCACCAGGTCTGGTCTCGTGGCGACAATACCCTGGGCGACCACCGGCGTGGCACAGCTGATGCTAGGAGGTACGCTGGCCGGGCTGGTGGGCAGGCTTTGGGCTCTTCGCGTCTCGATCCTATTCATGTGTATCGGGGTCGTGGTCCAATCGGTACCCAACAGCTTTGGCGTGCTCATCCTCGGGCGTCTCATGACCGGGTTGGGGTTCGGATGCGTCTACATCGCCACCAACCTGTATGTCTCCGAATGTGCTCCTCGCCTGCTTCGGGGCAGTTTCGTCGGGACGGTGGCACAATTTGGGTACCAACTCGGCACACTTATTGCCTTCTGGTCCGGATACGGCATGAGCTTCCACAAATCACCGTACAATATTGCATGGCGCGTGTCCAATGTCATCCAGATCCCAATCGGGCTAATCTTCATCTGTGTGTCGTTCCTGTATATCGAAAGCCCTCGCTGGCTGCTGGAAAAACAGCCTGAGAACCCCCAACGAGCCCTGAAAGCCCTGGCAAGGCTCCGGTCAGGGTCACCGGAGGACGACCGCGTTCGAGTCGAATTCCATGAGCTTGTGGCAAGCCATGAGTACCGCAAGCAGTTCGAAACCGGATATATGGGAATCTTGAAGAGCGGGCCTCTGCGCAAGCGGCTGCTGTACGGGTTCTATGCCATGGCCCTGCAGCAGTTTGGCGGTATTGCTGCACTCACCATGTACGCGACTCTCATCTACCAGTCGCTTGGCTGGGACAAGGGAAGCCAGGCATTGGCAATCAACGGCATTCAATCCGTCCTCCAGCTGCTCATCGTTTTGGTCAACACCTTCACAGTGGACCGTTTCGGACGCAAAACGCTGCTGATATGGGGTTTCACAATCCAGTCTATCGCCCTACTCATACTCTCATCTCTGTGCACCAGTTTCCCGAACAATGACAACAAGGCTGCCGCGGTGGCCGAGATTGCCATGTTTTTCATCGTTGGAATGACCTATTGCTGGTCAAATGGACCAATCCCTCCGGTAAGGAGCCCCTGCCCTCGGCTTTTTCTGAGACTCACTAACACGGTACCAGGCAATCGCCACCGAAATATTCCCTCAACACGTCCGAGACAAAGCCTTCGGAATTTCCGCGCTTGGTCAAACAGCCTGCTTGTTAGCCATTACCCAACCCTGGCCAGACTTCCACGACAAAGTCGGGCCACGGAGCTACTGGCTCCTTCTCGGTCTCAACGTCATAGCCCTGATCTCCGTCATCATTATCCTGCCAGAAACCAAAGGCATCTCTCTAGAGCGAATGGATCGCATTTTCGGGCAGGTTGATGCCGTCGAGGCCGGAGAAAGAGAGCGGTCGGCTTCTGTGACCGAGGAAGATGCGATCCGTATGGCTTTAGGTGGAGGAAAGAGTAATGACTTGAACACCGAGAAGGATCTGGAAAAGGATGTTGACCATGTCCGGCAGGTAGAACTCGTTGAGTCGAGGAATTGAACACGATGCGCGACAATGCTGGCGCAGTGATACCTGGGAAGGACAGGGGAAGGCCAACTGTGGAGGACTTTTTATGCTACCTCTTTGAAAGCCGTCAATGCATCTGGGATCTTCTTCGCTTCACTCCGTAAGATGATATGTCGACTTGGCGTTAAAACATGACACCAACCATACTGTTTAGTGATTGTGTAGAGGAGCATCATAGCCCCAGGCACTCATCATCCCTGAGTCCGTATTTGCCGCTGACGGCTAACGCTCGCCAACTTGTCCAGAATCCGGATCCACCTGTCCCGGACTCCCCACGTGGACGATGTGGCTAGCAGCCTTCGCCCCTCGATCAGCACCTTCTCAGGTGCACGAGGACCGTACAGGTCACCCACACCGTTCATGATCGGCTTCATGGTGTTGCCTCGACGCACAAACTGCTGCACGAGTTCGTCATCCGTTGGTCTGTCTATGAGGATGATATCACAGACGGCTTCCTCGGTCTCGTCTGTACGTTGGTCAATTCCTGTAAACTCGTCACGGCCTGAGTGCGACGATGGCTCGCTTTCTTTCGAAGAGGTCGAAAAGGCGCTGAACGCCCACAAGGCCAGTGCAGTCAGACCGACAGAGGAGGGTTCGTAAAATCCGTTCGCAGAGAACCTTCGAATGTGCCAAAACAGTACGCCTGCATGGATCATGGCCAGTCGGGCTTTGTACTGGTCGAGATTCACCCAGCGGCGTATCATTTGCTTGTCCATTACAATGCTTTCCCCGGATGAAGAGCGCGATTCTCCTGACAAGTGCTCGGCGAATCTCACAATGTTCTTGTATGGACTGAGTAACACGACTCTTGCGAAGTGCAGGTGCATCACAGTCGGATGTTCGAGGCCTGACTGCAACCCGATGGTAGCATTGGCACTCCAATGGAGGATATCGAGGCAATCACAGGCAGAATTTCGCCAGCGAGCGTAGGTTGACACCGAAGGGAGCCAGATTGGTGATCGTGACCTTGCTTCTTCAGGAGAGCGTTTCTCCGCGGTTGGTGTCCAATGCGACAGTGGTTCCTCAAGATACGCTTCAATTTCCCAGGTCCGACGAAATATACCATGGATGAGCAAGATGCGGCTGAATTCTCCCAGATCAGATAGCAGCTTCTTGTCGATATATAATTGCTCCAAGGCGTTCGCAAGAGTTGGGGCGGGTGAGTATCTGCGAGATACTTCAGCCCATTCCCTGGCCGTGGCGGCGGCCCACACTTGCTCATGCGCCGGAAGTCGGAGTCTTGTGCTCTCAGAGTTTGGTATCGGTCTTTGTCCAAAATGGACCTTGCTCATGGTGTCCAACAGCCATATCGAGTAAGACAAACGGCGTTGGGACTCATCCCGTCTCCAGTCCGTCCACCTAGATTCGATATCCCTCGAGTCTGCCACTTCACTGTGTTCGAGGATGTCCGGGCAGGAATTGGCCGAATCAAGCCGGAGCTTAGACCCATGACTGTGCAAACGTTCGTCTCCAGAGTAAAGGCAGCCGATACAGTGCAAAAGCTTCATCTGATATAATTCGATGCTGCGGTGCGAAGACGAAATCGCTACTTCTTCCAGGTTTTGAAGTACCCTCCTAGTGAATTCGTGCAGTGAGATGGTAAGAGAGTCAGAGCCTTGCAGGTAGTGGCTACCAAGCGCACCAGCAGCCAGCAAGGTTTCCCATTTTCGCGGGTCGCTGGGACTCACGTGCAATATAGGGAGCAGAGGGTGGAAGTTGTCAAAATAAAGCTTCACCAACTCGTCGAAGAATGATTTCGGGGGTGTGTCAGGAGTAAATGCCAGATGGGATGATGGCAATGGCTGATTCCCGTGATCGACGTTCCCAGATATGGGAGTTATGCCATGGTTCTGAGTCGCGGAAGCGGAAGAACCTTTCACATCCAGACAGAGACTTTTAAATGCCGAGAGCAAACAATCATAATCTTCACCTGAGAAATATTCCTGCGATGCTCCGCATCCGGTAGCCGGCCATTCGTAAGCGAGACTGAACGAGGCGGCCGCGAAACTGGCTGTTTTGGGGGTGACTCTGACAGGATTTAATTTGCGGCGTTTGACACGTGGCAATCTGGCGGCAGCTCCATCTACGTAAAATTCTCCTGGCTCTGATGGTTGGTCAGTGACTGACAGGCTTGCGGGACTGGTTGAGGAGACTCCGGGGGCGTCCAGGTCTGCAAGTGAGTCATGGCCGATGGGGGATGTCAGGTCCTCATGTGGTTGTGTTTGCAGAGTGTTGAGCTGAAATGCGCCTATATCGGGCCAGTAATCGTGGGTAGTCCCGCCTGAAGTAGAGCCATAGTCGAAGTCGAGTGCAGAATAATCATCCATCAACCAGTTGATGGTGGAAGACGCGCCTGTCATCCAGTAATTTGGATCAATGCTATCGAAGGGACCGGCTTGATATTGTGGGGTTTGCAATGCAGCACCCCCGTAAGAAGGTTCCTGTTGGCTCAGTTCCCGTGATCCAGGTTCAGCACCCAGAAGTGCAAAATGATTCTGGCCATTCCACGGCGCCGCTGCAACGCTCGCAATACCACCTTCCATGGCAGTGTCAAAGTTACCGGATGGCGAAGTCCTCTCGGTATCACGCATTCTCCTGTTGTCGGTATGCGGATCCTTTGTCGATACTAGATCAATAGACTGCTGAGAATATCTCTCCGAGTTGCCAGCTGGGGTTGCTGACGTTGGATAAGTGCATGGCTGCTCCCGAGCCGAACAGCGGCAACAAGGTATTCCTCCAGAGCAGCGAGTCTTTGCCACCACGCATGCCGAGCACGCCCTGGTGCACTTGGCTTGTGGTGACTGCGTCTGCTGATGCACCGTTTCGTGCCTTTGAAGCGTGTCTCTAAGAAGGTGCGTTAGGACCTATTGCTCGAAATTGCCCCCGGTGGCTTGTAGCAGATCTGGGAAGGACGGAGTCGTCACTAGAAATACCTTCTCACGAAGCTCTTGTGGCAGGTTCCACATTCAAATTGGCGCGTCTTGTCATGAACGAGAGCATGTCGCTTTAGATGCTCGAGTCGGCTGAAGGTCTTCTCGCAGATCGAGCATCTCCGAGAGTGTTGGCCAGGCAGCTGAGTTGCAGTTGGGTTGATCTCCTCGACACTATCACTCATGCTGGGAGTTTAATCAACCGTTGCATCACCATAGATACCAGTAGTCAACAATATAGTGTCCTTCGCGCTGGGAGGACGCCGAAGGCATCTAACTGAAGTCATTGCGGAGTTGGCATGGAGCAACTTGAACCATGGAAAGTCAGGACTTGAAGTCCGCAATAACTCCGGATCCCCAATTGCGGAGGTCAAGTCGCGCTTGCCGAAGCCTTGTCAGCCAGGTCACGTGCGAGGCTGAGCACTGTCACTATCAGCCAGGTACAGTAGGTAGATAGCCATGGACATGCGAGACGAAGAGTAGCTATCTAGGTATCTAAGATACTCCGTGCCGATGGGGAATCTTACACCTTTGCTAGGCTTGTATGTTCGGAGGGCAGAGCTTGAAAGATCAAATGAAGCGTCCAAAGCAGTGTTTCGGAAACGTAAATAGAATACAGCAGTTATACCGGGATCAAAGGGCTTGCAGAGCCAGGTTTCAAATATTGGGATCCTCGTGACTGTTTGATAGTCTCTAGTCCTGCTTTTGATCGCGACAGTTCTGTGTGGGCGTGGCAGCAGATCAGGTCTTGGCCGCACCAGCTTGAGCTGCTCCTTCAAAGGAGAAGAAACCAAGTATTGTTGGAGAGACCACTCCCTCGGCCTCGACATGACGCACAGTATCACCTCAATGTTGGTCTGCTCTTCCCTCCGGACGTGTTTTAAAGCTTGTGTCTCTTCTGGCCGGTCATGAACTTTTTCGACTCCGCCTGGGGCCGACCAGTAAGAAACGCGTTCAATGCTCCCATAACCTCCTTAACAACGACGGCATCCTGTCTTTCATAGTCTTCTGCGCGGAGCTGTCTTTTCGTCAACAGGAGAGCCGCTGGGTCAAGATGGGGACCCAGCCACTCGTCGATTTCCGAAAGCACCTGCTTCATAAAGGTATCATTGTCGCTCTCACTGTTGGCCTTGAACACCTTGTTGAGGAATCCGCATTGCACCAGCTCGTGGCACGTAATTCTCTTTCCCATGAGGAGTGCTTCATTCGTCTTGGCGGCTCCAAGGCGTTCCTTGAGGCTGAAGGAAGAGCCACCTTCAGCACCCAGGGCGAGAGACGTAAACGGGGTGGCCAGATATGTGTGGGGCATGGCATAAATAAAGTCGGCAAAGGCAACCAAGCCGGCCGGGGCGCCCACAACTGGTCCGTTGAGAGCGGCAACCAGAATCTTGGGATGCCTGAACACGCTCCGCGTGGCTGTCAACCAAGGCATGCAGAAGTTCGTAAGTAGCCATTCTCGAGCACTTTCCTGTTCTTCCGGCTTGCCGCCACCCGGCTTTTCCAGGCCGACATCGCCGCCCGAAGAGAAGAAACGACCCGTACCGGTCAAGACTGTTACCGTAATGTCGGGTCTCTCGGCCACTTCATCTAGCAGATAAGCGAGGCGGTGGAGGATTGCTCCATTAATCGAGTTGAGACTCTTGGGGTTGTTGAATCTGATGATGGCAACTGGAGGCTGCACTGTGAGGATCCGCAGCTGCGCTTGCCATTTTGTGGTCTCCAGGCTGAGATAAGATGTGTCTGTTCAGAACGTCTGAATGATGATGGCCACGGACTTGTGAAGCTCTGAAATTGTTCGAGATTTCAATATCAGCCCCGTAGGCCACTAACCTTTTTTTCTCTCATGGAGACTTCCCTCGGTACCTTGTCCTCGGCTCCAACAATTGTTATTCGAATCGTCAAATGTGCCGCCAATGAGAGCTGTCCAAAATGCTCCGCAAGCATAATACTCCACAAATAAAAAAGCACCGCGGGGCCCCATCGCAGCTTCCGACTTCAAACATAACAAACAATAAGGTATCGTACCATAAAGTATGTACCGAAGTGCGTTTTCATTTCAGAGCTAACTGGACAACCGGCCAAATTACCGTGTCCAGAGAAAAGTCACCCCGGATGTTCGCCCCTGCCCACACCGCAGCCCGCCCTGATTGTCCTAGTACTATAGGTTAGTCGTAGAGATAAGTACACACAGTAGTACTAGTATCAACACCGTGTTGAAGCGGCTTCGAAATCTTTTAATATACATGCCCTCCTATAAAGTATTAATCCTATATCGATCCTATATCGACGCTATATCGACCCTACTCTGATCCTACTCTGATCCGGGTCGAGAATCACTATAGGATCACTTATAGACTAAATAACGTATCGGAGATTATGATAGAATTACGATAGAATTACGAAAGGATCACTACTTAGTATAAAGATCGCTATAGAGATCGCTATAGGCTAACTAACGTATTAATATATTACGTAATATTTATAGATTATAAATTAATATATCGAAAAACCTATTATAAATAGCGTCGTGGTTAAGTAGTAAAGACGTCGCTATCGCCTATAAATTAGAAAAGAAAAATTCTAACGGTCCTCGAGCGGGATTCGAACTCTCTCTCTCTCTCTTTTTTTTTTTCTCTCTAATCCGGATCGGAGAAAATCAATAGATTTAGCTTTCGACCTAGTAATCGATCTAGGATCGGATCTAGTTATGTACTGAACTAGATCTAATCCTAGATCGATCCTAGATTGAGCCTCTATAGAAGGCCAGTACTGTACTTAAGAATTACTATAGCATCACTTACAAGTATAGGCTAAATACATATATGCCCGCCTAATAAGGATTAATCTAGTATCGATATAGGATCGATACTATATTAACCCTACTCTAATCCTACTCCGATCCTACTCCGATCCGGATCGAGAATCACTATAGGATCACTTATAGGGTAAATAACGTATCGTAGATCACGAGAGGATCACGAGAGGATCACTATAGAGATCGCTATAGAGATCGCTATAGGCTAACTAGCGTATCGAGAATTACTTCTTAACTTAGTTAAAATTTTTAAAATTTTTAATTTTTTTAAATTAATATATTACGTAATATTTATAATTTATAGATTAATATATCGAAAAAACTATTCTAAATAGCATCGTAGTCGAGTAGTAACGACGTCGCTATCGTCTATAAATTAAAAAAGAAAAATTCTAACG